CGCGAAATTGAAGTCGCGTGAATAAAAAAATAGAAATTAAAGCGTGCTTGGTTCACACGATGAAATAAGTACAAGCAGAAGGAAAACAAACTTTTCCTTTCCTTGTGGTTATGCATATTTGTGTGATAATACATTTGGTACTTTGTTTCATATGTGTGAACGTTCTTCTCCTTATTTCATCATGTGGACTCAAGTATACGCGCCAAATTAAGTACGAATAAGGTAGATGTTTCGAAACTTTTACCTTTCCTTGTGGTTATGCATATTTGTGTGATAATACATTTGGTACTTGTTTCATATGTATGAACGTTCTTCTCCTTATTTCATCATGTGGACTCAACTATACGCGCCAAATTAAGTACGAATAAGGTAGATGTTTCGAAACTTTTACCTTTCCTTGTGGTTATATGCATATTTGTGTGATAATACATTTGGTACTTGTTTCATATGTGTGAACGTTCTTCTCCTTATTTCATCATGTGGACTCAAGTATACGCGCCAAATTAAGTACGAATAAGGTAGATGTTTCGAAACTTTTACCTTTCCTTGTGGTTATGCATATTTGTGTGATAATACATTTGGTACTTGTTTCATATGTATGAACGTTCTTCTCCTTATTTCATCATGTGGACTCAACTATACGCGCCAAATTAAGTACGAATAAGGTAGATGTTTCGAAACTTTTACCTTTCCTTGTGGTTATATGCATATTTGTGTGATAATACATTTGGTACTTGTTTCATATGTGTGAACGTTCTTCTCCTTATTTCATCATGTGGACTCAAGTATACGCGCCAAATTAAGTACGAATAAGGTAGATGTTTCGAAACTTTTACCTTTCCTTGTGGTTATGCATATTTGTGTGATAATACATTTGGTACTTGTTTCATATGTATGAACGTTCTTCTCCTTATTTCATCATGTGGACTCAACTATACGCGCCAAATTAAGTACGAATAAGGTAGATGTTTCGAAACTTTTACCTTTCCTTGTGGTTATATGCATATTTGTGTGATAATACATTTGGTACTTGTTTCATATGTGTGAACGTTCTTCTCCTTATTTCATCATGTGGACTCAAGTATACGCGCCAAATTAAGTACGAATAAGGTAGATGTTTCGAAACTTTTACAGGAAGGAGCTGGACTGTTATATGAATCACATATAATCTTGAATGGTCTATGCCAGTGTAAGTAGTGTCAATAATAACAAGCTTTCCTAGGTACGAACACAAATTATCATTGAAATTCAAATTATCATTAATAATTCATCACGAAAATTCAAAAGAAATGAAAGTTTAATCATCGCGATCTGCAAATCGGAAAACTTTAGCTTCGATTTTCTCGGATAAACTTAATGACTACATACTTGATTATTACACAGACATGCATTTGTAAATAGTATGGTTCTCAATTTGGAAAAAAACATAAACGAGTCGAGTTTTTCAAAAACGATCAAAATTACACGTGTATGTTTTTTTCAAACTGCACGAGAAATCATACGTATTATATACCAAAAAAATATGCAGAAACAAGTTCATGCAGGTCATTGCACCCACGAAACACATGTGAAATCTTCAAATAATTTACGCCTGTTTTATACGTCGAATTTTGGTCGCGTCGAATGCAATTAATTAAAACAATAGATGAGATGATAAACCTCATTAATTAAGCTCCATTATCTATTGTTTGAATTGCATTCGACGCGACCGAAATTCGACGTATGAAGGTCCAGACACACCAGACGCAATTCGACAACTCGACGCGATTTTTTAGTTTTTGAACGTTAATAAAACAGCTAATGCGAGCAAATTTTGAAAGATATGTCGACCAAATAACTCAAAATGTTATAGCGCTTCTAAATATTTGGAAAATTTAAACTAGGATCAAAGTTATCGGTCAGTTAAAATCGAAAAATCGCGTTGCGTTGTCGAATCGCGTCCGGTGTGTCTCAGTGGCGTAACGTTATATCACGAGGCCCCCGGTTCAAAATTTTCGAAGGCCCCCCTAGTAGAAGTGCCAAAGGCACGAGTCGAGCGCCGTATATGCACGAGTTTTCTAGGGGGTCCAGGGCATGCTCATCTGGAAAATTTTTGAATCTAGACTCTCTGAAATGCGATTTCCTGGACTTTGGGGAGAGATTTTACAGAATTCTGATGGTCATAAAACGACATTATAACATATCAGAGGCCCTGACTAATGTTTTTGCTCTATCGCCTAAGCCTGGGGGCCCCCATTTAGGTTAGGGCCCCCGGGTTCTCCCGGTCTGAGCCCATAGTAGTTACGCCACTGGTGTGTCTGGACCTTAAAACAAGCCTATGTATATAACTCGTCTTGCTCATTTAAATGCACAACAACTTAGTATAAGTTTTCAGCTGTCAAAAGTCAAAACCTTATTTAGAATATTTTACTTTTTTAGTTGTTTAGGCTCTTGCCATGTATTTCATTTTTTGGCACTGAATTTTCATTATTTGGCACTGCCACTGCATGCATGTATTTCGATAAAATTGCACTGCTCTCAGCCAATCAATATTGAGTAATTGCTTGAGTTATGATATCCTTCAGATGATGTTAATTAGTTGCAAGAGTATATTGGCTTCAGCTTTTAAATATCAGTCAGTTATCTTGATCCATCCATAGTTCCCTTATTTCATTCTAGTTCACTAAAATATGCAGGTTCAAATCTTGCTAAAATGCACTGATCAGACTTGATAATACACGATGTCGATGGATGTTCATTATGTATATGATTTTAATTATAATTATCATCACTGCATGATAACGATTCAGTCCAATTTCATTCAAATTTTAAGGCGTCGTCTTTCTCATTTAAAACGAATTTACAACTTAGTCAGGACGTTCCCAATTTCAGTTCTCCTAGAAACTTCGCCAGTACCCGCATTAATATGCGAGTAAATAATAATATGTTTAAGAATGTTTATCAATGCCTCGCAAGTGTTTTACAAATGTTTTACAAATGTTTTACAAGAATTTGCAGCTTATCGATCATTTTGTAAAATATAAGAAAATACTCATCATACATCGTTGTTGACGAATGTTGTACAATGAATGAAAGCACAAACATTTCATTAAAACAGCGAGTGACATTAAAGAATGGTGCATGTTGTAGGCAATTGTTCACCAACACATTTTGCAGAAATGTTCAGCAAAATCAAGGGAAAGTAAAATAACGTCAAATGTTCTCATAGGGAACTGTCAAATTAATCAGAAAGATAAACAAGACGTTTTTATAGGAACAAAGGCGGAAGATCAATGTTTATCATCTGTCTCAATCACTGTTCCAAACAAGCTTAATGAATCTTGCAATGTCGAGACTTGAATTGTTAATAGAAGAATTTTCTTTTTTCAAAATTAATGAATACCATACACAAATAACATTCCATCATGTTCCTCACTCAAACTTAATATCTTTATATATTGATTGAAGCACGTTTAGCGCGGAAATGTATAATCATCCTATCATGTCAGATTCACGAATAACCGCGCTATTTGTTTGGTTTAAATTTTTATGATTTCAGTGAGTTTCAGCTCGTTGATACAGTATATATTTTGACAGTAAATTCACTATCTTTATATATATTCTTTTCCTGTTTTAGTCCCAGGTATGGGAGGATTAACCAGGTACAAATTACCAGAATACATATATCAATAAAGTTTACGAAACAGAAATCTCTGCAGGTGGAGTCTTTTTGCTGAAATGATACGAATGGAAATTCGTTTATATGCACATAAAGTGGACACGCGAAAATATCTTGAAAGATATGGAGTGAACAATAACAAGACCAGTTCTGTTACATTTATCATAGAATAATTTTAGATTTGCGCCATTCAGGAAAGTGGATGCATTTTCTGAAATAAAAAAAACTACATGTACGTTCTAATCTCTATATTGTCAACAAACATGGAAACATGATGTCAAATTTCATTTGGGGAGAGTGAGATATCATTTCAAAACCTCAATATGGCATGGCTTTTAGATTCGGAGTGGACAGGACTTCCTCGCAACTCCAGTCTATATCGGGCCCACATTTTCCGATTTGAAATATCGCAGTGAGTGAATATATAAAAGAAAGTTGTGACCAGTGGAGAAAAGACAATTTGTATAGTTGCCTGAGTGATGGTATCATAACATGGTCGATAACCCACGAGCATGTACTAATTGTTTTTCTTTCGGCCTTTTATTCGAATTAAAAAAATTGTAGTCTTAACAAACGAGACAAAAGCGAAGATGTATGGGCTGGCTTTGATTTCTGTCATTGATTAATCAGTTTACAATTGTTTCAAAAATTTAATCTGTCTGATTTGAATAGTTTCCATTGCGATTCATACAAACATGATTATTTTGAGCGAATATTCCTACCGAGCAAATATTTCAATAAAGTTACTGAAGACTTCGAAGAATGTGTTGGTTATATTGAACTTCACATATACAACTGTGCACTGGAATGAAGAATCAAGTTTGTTGTTCGGATTGTCAGTTTCAAGCAAGATCAAAATTTGAGAAGAACCTCTGTGATAACAAGAACATCCAATAATCATTTATCTTCGTGAAAATTTCATTTTATGTCAATTGACCAATCAAGTGTTAAGTTGAAAAAATGTTGTAATCGAAAAGACATCACAAAAGATTGATAATTGACGATTAAAATAGATGTTCTCTTTTAATTGGGCCCGGCAAGTCATTGTCCGTGGACAAAAACCAAACAATAGTAGATATATAACTTTGTGTCATTGCATGTGGGTATTGATACCAACACGGCTTAACAACCAATCTTAATAAGAATACTAATGAAAACGATCGTAAACCACTCTATCAAATATGATAGCTTTATAACATTGTTACATAAAAAACGAAAAATTAATAACATATACTTTGACTATACTTCAAACAATCAAATACTTCTGTTTCTATGACTATATGTTTGGTAAAGGCATATATATTTTTAGCTCAATAATTACGGCCTGAATACAGAGCAATTTGAATAGTATTTAATGAAATATTCATGTTTATTCATAATCTTTAACCACTAAAGTGTCTTAAGGTAAATTTAGCAGCATAAACCGAGGCGGTAAACTACTTAAAGTCCTCTCACATTCCAAATACATTCTAGAACACTCCCAAGAACCTTAGACTTAGTTTGAAATATTTTCGATATTGTGGTAAAATATTCATTTTGTTACAAGCAAGGCACGGAACCCCAGATTTTTTCTTTACTTGTGCTTTATGCAACTTACCAAATTAAAAACCTTGTAAACTGCTGTATTGTGAAGCGACGTAGAGAAAAGTGGAAAAGTATTAAGAGCATTGGAAGTATGAAGATTAGTACGCATGCAGTCACGCAGTTCTTTTATACAATCACGGAATCTTACAATCATTTCAATCTTTGAAGTTGACAAACAGATATGTACACTATAATTTCGAATATTCCGCAGGAAGACCTGCCTAACGCATGTTTGATCTTCGCTCATTGTATTTCGGCCTATTTTAGCACATATGTTATTGACGTTGAATAATTTAGGGAAAAAGTGCCAAAAGGCAATAGTTTGGAAGCTTATATTGCCGGAAACTCGGGCTTTTGATTTTGAATGCCAAGGAAGACACAAAAGAGTAAATATAATAAATACCTTAAGGCCTTAAACGTCGGTTTAACGTCGAAACAAATTAAATACGCTACGTTAGATAACACTTGTGCCAACTTTTGATCGCGGTCATTGAATTAAGAAGGTATTATAGTTTGAAATATTTTAAAAATAAGAAATCCCCTCTAGAATATCATTTTGTCAGTGATTCTGTTAAGTACGTTTGTAAGAATTCTTTATCAAGTACTTTAACCACACTAACAAGTTTTGTGTAATGATGCGGGAAGTGTACAGCGCAATGTAAACACGAGAAAAAGGTCATTTCTCTGATAATCAAAAGAGTCATGATGAAGAGCTGAAATCTTCCCGGATTGTTTTGACAAAACTGCGGGTAATTGATAGCGCTTGCTGTTTGAAATCCACGCTCAATAGAATATTGTAATTATAATACCAAAAATACCATTGAAGAAAACCAATATTGGTCTTTGTTGAAATCCAATTTCTGTGTTTATGACCAGATGTGAGCCACATGGAAATCCAAAATTTGTCGTAATTGTGTGCTATTTATAGTTCCATTTCCCCGTAACTTAGTAAACATTGAAGTAGGCTGGCCACGACAAGCTTGTTATGCATATAACACAATACATTTTACTTTAAAGCAAATGAACATTGGTTTAAAATAAGTGAATCATATCAGAAAACTATTCGGAAGGCGCCATACGGTGTACTAAGCTGGTTTGTCACACCGCAAACAATATCCAGTATACCAAAATAAGCACAAACATCCTCACTGCAAGTGTTGCCTTAAAGCGCACTTTAAATATTTGCATTAGGCTATAGTGAGGACTTGGCATCGAACTGATAAACATGCAAGAGTTTAGAAATAAAAATTCATCGCAAGCTGGTTGTAGTTAAGGTTGTAGATTGTTGATTGCCCATTGTGTAGTATTGGATTACACACAACGCTGGAAATGTCAGTTAAACCATTGTCTGGACCACGCAATGTTCTCAAATGTTTTGTAACGAACCGGAATATATTGCTATACTCTCTAACATTGCAAGACACCGGAATATATCGCTCTATCCTTGATCTTACCTAGGTAGCTTGCCATCTCCCGATGGTGAAATATAATCCCCCGTCTGTGAGCCTATAATATGAATATTAGACTTCAATATATAATGTCGCAAATATCATAACACACAAAGATATTACCCTCTAATCATTATACCAAATTCTATATAACCCTCGAATAACTTCAATGTCAGCGCATGTTACCGACTTCCCCAACAAATACGCGCGAGTTACAGCAAATTAGACGCGAATTTTGCGCAATGTAATCGAGTATTAAAGTTGGGACGCAGATCTAACGCACTTTGAGAAGGAATCTTGAGGGGTTTTATGCCGAAGGGATATTAATTAAATAACAAAACAGTCGAGCGAGTCTAAAGGTATGTTTATTGAACAAATATTATATAGACTGTCTTGATATATTATCACGTTTGCTATTCAACTTTAAGCGCGATTTCCTTGCTCGCAGCGCGAACTGTAGGTATTCCACTGCTATTTGACACGCGTAACATTGCGTTGTTTTGTCACGATCTAGGCCAAGACGCGAGAATGACAGACATACAACACTCATAACATACCTGCGGCATCATTGTAGCTCACTAGAAGTTGCAGTAGAACAAGAGATGTAAGTAGAGACATGATTATTGATCACAACTTGTTAAAGACAGATAACTTTATGCTTCTTGTACGACACCATCACACTACTGACCAGCTTGGCCTCCTCAGCTTTCCTTCTTATGACGTCATCAAGCTCCTCCTCTCTTCTTACATAAAATTGAATTAACAAAGAATTTCTAAAGCGCTAAATTGCTTCAAGCGCAATGCGTGTATCGCGTTACAATGCTAGGAAAAGCATGAAACTATATGTTATAGCTTATGTAGGTTGTAGGCATTTGGTAATATCGAGGTCTAAAGCAAGTAGTTTGATAAAAGAGAAGTATAAATCATGCTGTGAATGTGCCAGCGTGTGGTACATGGGATGTTTGCTAACATACAGTACTAAGCAAACACTAGGATAATGCTTCTGATCTGTCATCTTTCAAGCGATATAATAATCCTTATTACGCGTTTATTTCGATTGAGTGAATGTCGGTATGTGACAATGCTGACAGTCTAGTGCGGCAACTACAAACCTCGCTGAATTAAACGTATTCCGACAACATAGAAACACAGGTCAAAAATACAAAGATAAAGCACTTTTCTTCTCAATATGAACGATATCTAAGAAGAAAAACGGAGGAAATGAGGAGGTTAAAGCCATGCACCCTGGAGTGAGCCTTGTTCTAATCACTCAAAAATGGCGGCCGTCTAGCTTTCGTCTTTCACCATGCCCTCGACATTAATACAGTCAACTTGCAAAGAAATATAATTTAACTATTATAAAATGACTCTTTTTAATTCATGAGTGAATCAAGACAAAGACTTGAATATACCTGGCTAAAACGAACGGTAAATTTTACTTGAAGCCGAGCTACTTTTTTAACTTGCAGGGTGGTCACTTTTAATTTGTCGTGATGAAATGCACAAAAATTGCTTAAAAATGTTTTATAATTATTGAAATGACGGCAAGAAAAAAGTGTTTTCTTGTTAATTGGATTTTCCATTAAAAGCTGACGGTATGCGCTTGCTCTTTACGCTTCCAGTTAACCGCACGCATCTCAAATATCTTTCATTACAATTAATCATGGCGAGATTTTGATGCGATCACATCCTGTGCTGTCCTACTGTTAAAAGAAACAAATTGTTTGAAGGGGTATGCCGTTGATACAATAACATTTCCTTTACTGCAATTCATCTCTCAGTCAGACGTTATTCAAGCCTATACTCCTCGCCGCCTTTTACGATTATAGATCGAAATTATAAATAACGCCGTAATTGAGACAAAGCCATGCATGATCTGACTACGTTCAATCTTATGCAGAAAGCGCTCGGTCAGAAATTCAAATGTTTGCACACAGCCGCGCGGTTTCAAATGATTGAAAAAACTGTGTAATAGGTCATATAGTTGGCCTACAGTTAGTTCATGAGTCCTGCGGGTTATATTTGTTATTTTAATCTGAAAGTCAAACATGTTGCTGTCACTTAGTGATTAACAAGGTCAACATTGATTCAAGTCACAGAAGAGAAACGTCTTTACGTTGCGAGATATCAGTGTTTTGTTACCGCTGTTAATATTGCTTATTTTCAAATATATAATTTATTTGCAGAAGAGAATCAAATACTGTCTCGCTCTAATGCGCAACAGCGAAAATTGTCATCACAAAACTCGAGACATCTTTTCATTAGTAACACTAGAATGGTGCTCAAACGTAATGATTTTTAATGGCAAAGAGCTTTATAATTTTACAAGCGTTGACAGATTATTCCAGTCAATTCACTCCTCATTCACCACTCGCAATAAGGGTGTGAAAAGACTTGACTTTGATTTATGGCGTCAGATATTTTGATATATCATTATTAAAGAGAAAATAAAATTTGTAACACACGAAAACCGCGATGTGAATGAAGCGCGTGCATTTCTGTTAAACCACTTAACTTAAGGGTATATGATCACGCAAGACCTATGTAATTATGAATAACACCACATTATCTAAATTTAGAGTATATCGATATTTTTACTGAAACATTTCCGTAATTTATGCAGGCAGAGTAACTTTGGCAACTCTACACGCTGCTTGCAGTTACGATTAAAGTCGCCAATCTCTATTAGTTCTAGTTCTCAGAGACTCATAACATGACAGAACAGACTCGACAGAGTGTGAAAAAACGTTCAGGAAATGTAAATAGTTTGTTTTCTCTTGTTGTGCTTCAGTTTTCAACACTTCAACTGCGTGCTTGTGGTCATACTTGAGATATGTTTAGTGATTGACATGCCTTCTTTGCTAATAAACATCATGCATATATCATTCATTCATTATTGAAAATATATTATGGTAGATGTTGAAAGCGTAGATCTGACTGATACTCCGTCTTTAAATATTATACTTGTACCACAGGAAAGAGAAGAAATAGTCTCTGCTTGGGTGCGCAAGAAAGTCGAAATATAGCGACGAAAAAAATGTTGTCTTTTTGAGTAATCTCTAATGTTGTACATTTTAAAAATATTAAAATGTTTATATTGTTTTCAATTATCTCCATACGTTCCTGCTATACCATCGATGATTCGGCATGCACGTATACTTGGAAAACTGTTTGCCTTGAATGTAACATATAGCTGCGTAGAAGTTTCATCAGTTCAACCATTAACTTGCTACTATACTAACTAGGTACAATAACTGTCCTCTAAATTTTATTCCTATATTATTATTATTTTTTATCTTAATGTAACAAAGGGCCCCGTGTAATTGCCACTGTAAACTTATATTATCTTCTTTATTATTGTATCTTCTTTATTTTATTAACTGTATTTTTGTTTGTCTGTGTGTTTTTGTTGTTTCTATTTGTAAGAAGCGAGGCTGAATAAATAAATAAATAAATAAATAAAAAATCACTCCTGAAACTCGGAAAACAGAAATGTTGGTAATATAAATCTCAGCGTTCTCTCAACAAGAACGAGGTCAGTGTTGCGGTTTATCTCATCACTCCATTTCCAAACTGATGTTCCAGATATTCTGAACTCTCTCAACTCAATATCTAGATCTCTCTAAACTTAAAGAACCTGCATAGAACACTCTATCTGTTTCATTGTCTTCACTCAAACGCTACTGCCAATTTGACTCACTACTCCATGAGATTAACTTTACTACTCCAGATTAACTTTACTACTCCAGATTAACTTTACTATACTCCAGTCGTCCAGATTAACTTTACTACTCCAGATTAACCGGAATTGCCTCAAACACAAGACTTCTGTACACTGTGAAATGTCGACCCTTGAATTCTCTCAGTCTGATGTTATTCGTTGACTTGTTCTTACTTGTTATTTGTTGACATACGGATGTTAATAGACCTTTCCCCTTTTAAGTGAAATTTTGATCTAGACAAAAATTTCATCACAGCTTGAAAGAGCATCGCAAAATTAATAATATTCCAAATTTTTGTTGCAAAATGTTGTAAAATGCGGATAATATAGCCTTGCGAAGTTTGCCGTTTTTCAGTCATTTGGTATTACAAACGTACGGGAAATTGATCATCAGTTTGATCATCTGATTATCAATTTCCCGTTTGTAATACCAAATGACTGAAAAACGGCAAACTTCGCAAGAATATATTATCCGCATTTTACAACATTTTGCAATGAAACTTCGGAATATTACTAATTTGGTGATGCTCTTTCAAGCTGTGATGAAATTTTTGTCCAGACTTGTGAAGATCAAAATTTCACTTAAAAGGGGAAAGGTCTATTATGTGTATTATTTTATAGTTTATTACCTCGGCTCTGTGATGCCCTACACTCTTGGGTGAATACCGGCTGTACGTTTACATTATACTGGATATCTTTCTGTAGCGGCGCGAAAAAGCACCTACCCCGGCTATCCGATACGGAATGTACAACTTTCAGAAGCTGAGAGAAACAACATCTCTCTGTTGTAATAACTCCTCGACTTCGTGCCCCATTACACTTTTTGGAATGGATTGTCGCTTTTGCCTAAAAGGTACGCCTATAGGTGTTTTTTCACGCTGCTAGCCGTATCCGGTTATCCCAGTACAAGTGTAAACTACGTATAACCTCAATATTAAACTCTCGTAAGACCAAATACTCCAAATAATTTTACCAGATGAGTATAACCAGCATGGTTAGAAACCAATACCAGCCGACAATTTCAAAAAGTATAAAACAAAACACAATCCGAAGATTAGCATCTTGAAACTCAAGATATGAGCTAAATCAAGATGAGAATGAGATCATCAGACTAACTAAAGTTCCATCCATAAGGTAAATGATTTTACTCTGGCTCAGTGGTAGCCTAGACAATGTTAGTTACCCCCATGAGCTCTATATAAAATCAGACGGTAGACAAATTTAGCTGACGTTTGTTTATACTCAATTCACAACCTATAGTCATAGAAAGTTTACCGGGGCATAGAAAAAAATACAGGTAACTACGCCTAATTAGAATTATCTACATGAGCCGGTGAATAACTCATACATAATCAGGCTAATGCTTAGTTCCCTTTGTTCTATTCATGCTTCTGTAAATTACAACAATCATAATATATATAACTAGGTGTCGCCGTTTGAGTTACAGCCGGAATAACACTTTTGGAATGAAGCCACATATAGTTCATAATTTCCAGTTCAAAACCCAGCCGCGGCAGGCAATATCTTTCTGCTTGCGTGCGGTCTGGAAATTATGAAATACACACTCGAGAACATTTTCAACTTAATATATATATAGATCCAGTAATCTTATACCTTGTACAGTACCGCATCTAAATATTCTATAAATAAACGAAAATTAACTGCCGTTCGAAATAAATGGCTGAAATACTAGATCTAATTGAAAACAAACCAAAAATAAAACTCACAATTTACTTTAATTTAGATTTTTAATTTAAGAAATATTTATGATGGACAAAAACTATAAATAATTCTAAAGTGCATGCTGTTAACAATAAAGTGCTCAGTAAGACAATATATTTATATTTTGTTTCCGAAATTAAATTTAATATTGCCTTTTCAGAGATTCTTTATATTACAAATGGCCAAAAATAACCGAAATATATTGAAGCACTTTAATCTTTATTGTAAACCGCGTTTTATTTATAGTTTAGTGTGTTAGAAATATCTCTTAAAATAAAACTCGAAATTAAATCAAATTACTGGCTTTTGAATTTGAACTAAGTGGAATATCCGCCTATATACCTTTTGTCAATCGAAAATATAATTAATAAAAAGTTTTCTGAATCATATTAATAAAAACACAACCTTTTTAAACATTCCTTAATAATAGGAGGTGGATAATCCCCTTAGTCCAAATTCAACCCATATCTAGGAAACAACACGCACGAAGTCACGAATCTAGGAAGTACGCACGTACGCACACACGCACGAAGTCACGAATCTAAACAACACGCACGAAGTCACGAATCTAGCTATAAACACATATCTAGGAAACAACACGCACGAAGTCACGAACATGATTTGATTAGCTATAGACTATAGTATAGGAGTACGGGGCTGGGGGCGAGGCTAGCCTGGATGGCAGGCGGTCTAAAATACCTTTCCCAGGCTTGCCCGATTTTAGGGACCGCCTG